CAGGATTTGAGTCAGACCCCTTTGCAGAAACACAGGGTGCAGGATTTGAGTCAGACCCCTTTGCCCGAGGCTTCCCAGCAGCTTCTTCAGGGCCTGAGGTCTCCAAGCCTGTCCAGGAAGCTAAGAACAGCCTCTCTTCTTCAGTCTTTGTGGAAACCTCTGAATCTGCTTCCCAAGGAGCCGCAGAAAGAATTAAAGATGCAAATGTTTCCAGAATTTACAAAGACCCAGAAAACTCAGACATGTCTGAAGATGAGGCTGCAAACCGGAGATTTGGAAAGTTGTACCAAGAGCTAGATAAAGAGAAAGAAGAGGTACACAACTTCCTCCCCTCGTCAGTGTGCTAGCCTAGTGTAGATTGGACCAGAAACCAATGATCCCCTCCCCTACGTTCTCCTACAGATTTAGAAACCAACATTGTGAAAGTTGCCCTGAACTCTGGATCCCAGCCTGAGCTCCTCCCACTTCTCTTCTTGCCTGCTTTGTCTTCCAACTCTCTATTTGTCACGTTTTCAGCCATCTCACACCTGATGTCTTCAAAGGCGTCTAATTCTCGTGTTTTTGTTGTTTGATTCAGGTGACAGATGCATTCAATGGATTTTCACAGGTAATTCCTCAAACTTGACCTCAATAGTCGGATAAAACTTTCCGCCTGTAGGAACGATTCTTTTCCTTGTTATGAGACTCTTAATATGAGGTCTAATTATGCTCGTTTCTACTCTTTCATGATCTTCCAATGGCTGGTTATGTCTCTCTGCATCCACTTGACTTTTTTTTTTCTTGTTTTTGTCTTTTAAAGGATTCTTCCGCTCCATCATTTTTTGCTGATTTTGATAAAATGGTAAGTTTTCTGCTGACACATCGTTTCACATTTTACTAAAGTTGCCCTGCTTCATTTATGAATGATTGATGTTCATCATTTATGATTACTTTTAAAATGACGTATTGTGTCTTCTGTACTAATCAAACTTCAGGTCTCAGTCTTATAAAACTCAACCTTCTATCTTTATGATGCTTTTCCAGTCATGCTTGTTCAGAAACCACTGGGCCTATTTGGCACATGCTCAGAAACCTCTCCCATGTTCACAGTGGGCATTTATATCGTTTGGAAACAGTTACTATCAGATAGGAAGGACCTCTTATTCCTTGTAGATCTTTCTGTTATTGCAGGATGAAGTTAACGATAAAACTGATCTGGTATATTTGTCTTCTGAGCAGAAGTGAGGAGAATGAATTTTCAGAGAAGACCGTCTTTCAGAGAGGTTGGTCTTTCAATGTCAAAGTTTGGTATCTGAAAAATTAGGACCTGGGTGGAGTTAGATCTGATCATGGCTTTTCTGGTTCTGGAACTTACTACCACTGAATCACCAACCTGATCTGATAAAGATGATTTAGGAGAAAATAAGAAACACGAAGAAAACTCGTATTTACAGAGGTATATTTGTGATTAACATTGTCCAGTTGAGACACTCGTAAGAGTCTGATCTTTTTATGAATTTGAAGATAAAAGTCATCCATTCATGTTCTGGGATCCATCTTTTTAAAAGAATGAAGAAAACGCTGAATCTGCGGACGCTTCTGAAGCTGTTGAAGGACAAGATAAGCCTCCAGCTCCACTGGCAGCGGAGGACACTCCTGCTCCACCTGCTAAAGAAGAAACTGCTGCTCCACCTGCTGAAGAAGAAACTGCTGCTCCACCTGCTGAAGAAGAAACTGCTGCTCCACCTGCTGAAGAAGAAACTGCTGCTCCATCTGCTGAAGAAGAAACTCCTGCTCCATCTGCTGAAGAAGAAACTCCTGCTCCATCTGCTGAAGAAGAAACTCCTGCTCCATCTGCTGAAGAAGAAACTCCTGCTCCATCTGCTGAAGAAGAAACTGCTGCTCCACCTGCTGAAGAAGAAACTGCTGCTCCATCTGCTGAAGAAGAAACTGCTGCTCCACCTGCTGAAGAAGAAACTCCTGCTCCATCTGCTGAAGAAGAAACTCCTGCTCCATCTGCTGAAGAAGAAACTCCTGCTCTTACCGCTGGAGAGGAGCCAGACAGTTCGGTCTCTGCAGCAGAGGAGAAGCCTGATGTGAGTGGAAGTATTCTCTACATGAACCTCATCACCATCATTGTTGTGAAAATGTGTTTTTGAAGCTGACAGTTTTCACAGATTAGGACCTTAAACCAGAAGCTCTATGTCATGTTTTGTGATCTAGAAATCTTGTTTTCAGCTCCAGATTTTTAATTCTTCATCATTATTAATTTAATCTTCATCATCAGCTTCTTCTTTATCACCGTCATCCACATCTTTACTCTGACTATCTTCAGCGTCTTTACATCTCTGTCAGATTCATAAAAACACGGGACGTGATGTGACCGTCCATTGTGCCAATAGATGGTGTGCACTCACATGAGATTTGCCGTGATGTTAAGAGTGGCATGGGAGAGATATGTTCCTAAGAGTGGGGTTAGATGTAAAATTTCAGGACACATCCTCAGTAGTGTTCCTTTGAATCAGGGGGTGTTTCGGCCTTTAAACACTATACACCCTCATCAAAGGCGGCCAGCTACAGGGTGATCAAGCCTTAGCTTGTGTCCCATGCCCAATCATTAGGATTAGCCTAGCTGTAAAATGGCTAATATCCCAAGGGACTATGCAAGGCAGGGGCGTCCTCTTCCCTGAGCCAAGCCTACAGCTGACCGCATACCTCATGGGCCCTCCTCAGGTTGGAGGGTTGGGATTCGGGCTCTCAGGTCAGGGGGGAGGGGGGGGGTCATGTTCTTAGGGCCCAGCAAGGGTCCTTCCGTTTAGCCCATAGCCACTGGCTGCCCCTTTCAGCTGCTTCAGAGACTGATCTGATGGTCTGCCGCAGAGCCTGTCCCTGGATTCCAAGTTCCTTCAGCAGCCTGATGGTGGAAGAGGCCACGAATCCTCTACATCCGACTTCAACCGGACAGACTTTTGCATTCCAGCCATGTTGAATTGCGTCTGCTGCTAGCTCTGTGTATCGCAGCTTTTTTCGCTCATAGGCCTCCTCAACAGAGTTCTCCCATGGGACTGTGAGTTCTATGATGAACACAGATCTTCGTGAAGGAGACCAGAGTACCATGTCTGGCCTAAGGTTGGTGGTCATGATCTCAGAAGGAAAAATTAGTTGCTGGCTGACATCAACAAGCATTTTCCAGTCCCGGGCCATGGCTAGGTGTCCAGTTTCTGGCTTCGTAGCAGTATGCTTGGGCTTTTCCTGTCCCTTCGGATGAATGTTGTTGATTTCATGGGGTTGCTTGGTCTTGGGGGTAAGGAGTTGGTTGCATTCCTCTTGATCTCGATTGCTGCAGCCAGGCTCTTGAGGACTTGATTGTGCCTCCAGGTGTAGCGGCCTTGTGTGAGGCTGGTCTTGCAACTTGTCAAGATATGCCTGAGAGTCGCTGGAGCTGGGCAAAGAGGGCAGGTTGGATCCTCGCCATACCACTGATGTAGGTTCTTTGGTGATGGAAGCACATCATATACGGCTCTTATGATGAAACTGATGTTGCTTGCGTCCATTTGCCATAGCTCACTCCAGGTGATTTTTCTCCTCTCCAGGCCTTCCCACCGCATCCATTGCCCCTGTTTAGCAAGAGAGACAGCCTTTGTACCTCTCGCAGTCTCCTCCTGCCTGCGCACCTCTTCAACCACCAGTTTTCTACGCTCAGATGTTGTTGCCTTGCGCCAAGAGGGTTTGCTCGCTGCCAGGCCAAAACCTCCTCTTCCATACTGGATATGCCCCAGGATGTCTTGGTGTCTCAGGGCAGATGTTGCTTGCTGCACCGCATCGGATGGTGTCCATTTCCGTCCGGTTAGTACAGGAGGTGCAGCACTGCTGAAGGTATGGTCTCTGGAATCCTGCAATGTCATTTGAAGCCTAACTTTAGAGCACTTGTACTCCTCTGTTAAACTTGTGAGAGGTAGTTCAAGGACCCCTTTGCCGTAGAGGCTGATGTTGCTTAGACATCGTGGGACACCGAGTCATTTCTTTGCGCATGTTGTAATGGTACGCTCCATCTTCTCCACCGATGTTATTGGGACCTCATACATGGTGAGTGGCCACATTACCCTGGGGAGAAGTCCAAACTGGAGACACCAAAGCTTGAGCTTCCCAGGCAGTAGGGTCTTGTCGATCCTCTCCAGACCGTTGACAATGTCCTGCCGTAACTGCTGCACTTGATCTGTATCCTTGAGGTTTGCACTGTACCATCTACCCAGGCTTTTCACAGGTTGCTCAGACACCGTTGGTATCGGGTCATCGCCAATGCAGAACTTCACATCTTTCAGCTGCCCCTTGACTATGGCAACACTTCGAGATTTGCTTGGCTTGATTTTCATTTGTGCCCACTTGATGTTCTCCTCCAGTTTCGCCAGCAGCCGCTTGGTGCAAGCTGGAGTTGTGGTCAGCGTAGTCATGTCATCCATGTACGCTCGGATCGGTGGCAGACGGAGCCCGTTCTTAGTTCGCTCACCGCCCACCACCCATTTCGAGGCCCTGATGATGACTTCCATGGCCATAGTGAAGGCCAGAGGTGAGATTGTACAGCCTGCCATTATGCCTATTTCCAGGCGTTGCCATGTTGTAGTGAAGTCAGGTGTTGTGAAACACAGTTGAAGGTCTTGGAAGTAGGCCTTTACCAGCTTAGTGATGGGTTCTGGTACATGGAAAAAGTTGAAAGATTCCCAGAGCAGTTCATGGGGAACTGAACCAAAGACATTGGCCAGATCAAGGAAGATGACATAGAGGTCTCTTTTGTCCTTCTTAGCTGCTTGGATCTGGTGCCAAATCATACTGGTATGCTCTAGGCAACCAGAGAATCCAGGAATGCCTGCTTTCTGTACAGATGTATCAATGTACTTGTTCCTTTCCAGGTACGTTGACAGCCTCTGTGCCATTATGCTGAAAAAGATTTTCCCCTCGACGTTGAGAAGACTGATTGGTCGGAATTGACTGATGTCAGTGGCATCCTTTTCTTTTGGAATCAACACACCGCCAGCCCTTCGCCATGCCTTGGGTATTATTTCCTTCTGCCACACTATCCTCATGAGTCTCCAAAGAAAGCGTAGAACGTCTGGCGTGTTCTTGTAGAGCTTGTACGGTACTCCATTAGGCCCCGGAGCTGATGCCGCTCTAGCTCGCCGGACTACATTCTCAACTTCCTTCCACTTTGGAGGTTCAGTGTCCAGTTTGAATTCTGGAGGATGAATAGGTGGGATGTCATGGGGGATGATTATCTGCTCATGCCTTTTCGTGTCCTGATGGGCCTTCTCCAGATGTTCTTCCAATTCCTTCTTTGGTGTTTTCAGGATTCCACTCTTGTCCTTAGCAAAGAGGTCTTTGACGAAGGGTTTTTGTAGAACCGTGTTCTTGAGTGTTCCTTCTTCTTACGAAGTTCTCTGCTCTTCTCAAGGTTGTCAGCCGACCTTTGATGTCTGCTTGGAGTAGCATGAGACCTTCTCTCTCTGCATCAGAGGCCTTCTTCCACTGCTTTCTCAGCTGCCTTCTCTCTTTGACGAGTCTCTCGATCTCTTGCTGTCTCCTAGATTTGGCTGGTGCTGGTTGTGTCTTTCCACTTCTCCTGATGTTTACACCAAAGCGCTCTTCTCCATAGTGGTAGATAATGTCTCCCATCCTTTCAAGCTTTCTCTCTGCTGTGCCTGTCTGTTGTTCCAGGATTTTTATCAGGTCGTTGTTGATCATTTCCCACTCTTTCTTCTCAACAGCTTTGGGCCACTTAACACTCAGTCTGTGCCCTTTGATCTTTTCCTCCTTTGGAGGTCTCTGTGGTTGGGTGAAATCGTCCACCGGCATATCTGTGCTTGTGTTATTCTCCTCAATGACAGGGGTGCTGATGCTCTGCGAACTTTGGTTTGTGTCCTGTCGCTGTGCTTCATTCGACTGACTTGATCGGTTGCTTCGCAAGAAGTACTGGTCAATGCGAGGTTCCTGTCTCTGCTCTCCCAAGCACCTTTTCCTCCCTTGATGGATCTTTAATCCCCTTGCCGATGTTACTTTCTCCCAACCACAGCTGCACACCTGAAGTGTGTTTCCTGCTGCTGTTGTGGTTTTCTCATGTGCTGTGTTCTTCTTACTCATAGTCGTTTTCGTTCCTGGGTCTGTAGCCGTGTGATCAATCGGTGAGCCATCTTGCGCCCCAGCTCTCGCAGGCTCTAGGGGTATGTTCCTTAGTTGACTTTCTGTAGCAGGGTTTTGCGGGTGTCTCCAACATACTTAGTCTATATGATCGCTATAATTATTGTCATTTTCATTTAAAAAGGGTCGTGTCATTATTTTTTTTAATTTCATAGTCGTTCATCTTCACAATCAGCCACCTCTTTTTTACCATCATTGCCCTGTTCTCATGACGTTTCCTATTTATCTTCACCATCATTACTGAGTGTCACTGTTTTCATTATGAATCAATGTCATTATTATAACCATCATCATCACTATCATCGTCTTTAGTGAACTCATCTCTGACCTCCTTCTCATCTTGATCTGGTGCATCCTCTCCTCGCTGTTATCATCGTTACCTACAACTTCAAGAAAAATTAAGAAACCAACAAGAACTGAAAACAGGATGTGATGATTTAAACACATTAAAACTTCATATTCTGTTAAAGGGAGCGCAAAGGAAACACTTATAACACGTGTTTTTGGAAATTGTATGTCCATTTTTAATTTAATGCAAACGTTTTGACAAAAGTTTCAACGTTAGAATCAAACAAGCAGATGTTGTTGAACTTCCTGAAGGTGATGTGTGTAAGATCACGACTGAAGGAAACAACATGACGAAAACCAACTTTAAGTCCAATCAGACAAAGTGCTGCCATGCAGTCCAAGATGTAAAGGAGGCAGAGACATGTTGGCATGTTAAAGAGTATCTCCAACAGTAGAGAGCTTTGGACTGTGGTCTTGTTACCCTGCAGCCAATCAGATGTAAGGATTGTTGCTGAAATAATAATCACGTGACTTTCTCTGCAGTCAGCTGGTGGATCTCCTGACTCTGAGCAGACGGGGATTAGTCAGGTATGTATCTCTGACTTCTGTTTTATTTTTTTTATTTCAGTTTATTAACTCATGATGAGTCTTAACTTTAATGAAAAATACTGATATAAACTCACAGCATAAAACAATATATTTAAAACAAATGAAGCTTGTGTTCTTGAACTGCCATAAAAATAAAGAAAACACAAAATACAAAATATTTACCTGCCTCACATGATATAATTTATCAAGAAGAAAATCAGCATTCAACATTAAAGTGTAATCCGTTTAGGGATGGATTTTAAATCGCGCCAACAATCAAAGTATGAGGGATTATATAGTTATAGTATTATTATATAATATATTATATTATTATATAGTTGTATGTTTAAGGAACATTTTTGTCAAACTGTTGACCCTGAACCAAGTTTATTTAAAGTTTAAAGTTTCCTTTAAATTACATTTTTTTATTGTTAACTATTTATGAACTTCTTGCATAACTTGATTGTATTTCTTGATACTTTTTTAATTAACCCACATGCACAGCTCTTTTTACTGAAAAAGAAATCCGTGTGACAGCAGAGAGTTTGTTTTAGCTTAAAGAAATGCTTTGTGATTTCAGATTCCTGCGGCTGAGGAAACAACATCTCCAGCTGAAGCTGCTCCATCGGTAACTACCACCAAATGACCAGTTCACTCTGTCTGACTGGGACATATAAACATGATTAGTAGCTGTAAAAACTGCTTATTAATGTTGTTAGTTTTCTGTAAAAAACTCTCATTTCAGCTCTTGACTGTCGGACTGAAACGTTTTTCTTTGCTGCTCATACTTTGATAAAAAGCTTGAGGGTGTTATTTTTGCACAGTTTTTGCTCCATTTCCTGTTGTTGTAATGTTGTTTTGGTTTGTGTCCCTGATATTCATGGAGGTCTAGATTCTAGATCTAGATTAATTTACCTGAAGTTACTTTTGTTACCATGAGGAAAGTTTTTAAAAAGCTTTCTTGGAACTTCATTTGAGGTCGTGTGTTTTCTTTCCTCGTATTATGATTGAAGCTGAGGCGTGGGCTTCGAGTTTTTATGTTGTGAAATGTCTGCAGGAAAAGATGCCGATCCCCTCTGTGGTGATTGAACCAGCTTCCAGTAACGAAGGCGATGATGACCGTGATGCTGACATCGTCTCTCCCAGCGCCATCAGTGACAATGGTGTGACAGCTGTAAACCAGACCATCAAACACATGAGTGCCTCAGGGGGAGCGTCAGGACTCCCTGATGAGTTTCTGTACAAGGTTCGTCTTTCTGTTGATCTCTCCTCATGGCATTTATTCTTCAGGGTTTCACTCTAACAAATGAGTGATTGTTGGTTGAACAACTCCCTTTATCTGTTGTTGCTCTGATTTGTTGTCTTGTTGTCTTATTGTAGGTGGAGACAATGCATGACTTTGAGGCAGCAAATTCAGATGAGCTTGAACTGAAGAGAGGTGATGTGGTGCTGGTGATTCCCACTGCTTCAGTAGAAGATCAGGTGAGAAAAATTCGGGTAATTATGAGGTAGAAACTCTCTGTAAGAATGGGTCAAGTGCATACCGACAGATATTCTGGCAGGAAATCATGTTGTCCTCTGGTTCCTGTTGCAGGATGCTGGCTGGCTCACAGGGATCAAAGAAAATGACTGGCTTACACTAGGAGCTGGAGCTCAAAGAGGACTGTTCCCTGAAAACTTTGTTCAACGTTTGGAGTAAGAAACTTGGGTACGGCTCACAGTTTGAAGTTTGAGATGTTGGTTCCTAAACTCTTCACTCAGCATGTAGCCAGCCTCCTCCTCCTCCTCCTAAAAGAAGCCTGACCTGCTGCAGCTCTTCGCAGATTATACATAACTCTGAAAGATAAACTAAGGTCATTGTAATTAAAGCTTGTACTTTTTGAAGTGAAAGTCAGTGGAAAAAATGACAAGCATGATGTGATAGATTGGGCCTGCCCTCTCTAAAACTCAGCTCTGTCATTTTTGGGGAAAAAACAACGTATTTTTATTGGGAATGTTATAATCACCACACCGTCAACTCTGAAAGCAGGAACTCCTTTTCCTGAAGAAAATCATACCTTCTTTGCACCAAATGTGTGAATACATTTTGTTGCTCAGCTGTTGAACAAACCAGAATATGTAGTGCTGTGTTCTATTTAATGTTCTTGAGTGTCGTATGAAACTGTAGAGTTTGTTGTTTTTTTCAGAAACATTGCAGCTTTTACCCTCGTATCACTGTAAGTGTTTCTCTGTAATACCAAGGTTGAGTGTATGTGGTGATCTTTTTTGGGATATGTGACAAAATATAAAAGCTTAAAGAATTTATTGTGTGTATAATGGCATGAGAAAGTATTCCATGTTGAAAAGAACCGCACCTGAGTGAGATCACACATCTTTATCAAAAATTCATGAAACCAAATGCAAGAAAACAACTCTGTGTTTTATCATTGTATTTCATCTCAGATGGTATTAAGAGTTAATATGCAATCTCTGTGGTCAGTATATTTCAAAATCAAGTCTCTTTCTTCTAACAGTAGTGATGATTAACAATTATGAAGTGACACTCCCTGACAATGAAGTTTAACACTGTTGTAGATTGTTCTGTTCTGTAAATACCATAAATATTTAAGTCAAATCAATAAATAAGAAAACAGAAGGTCAATTTGTCTTGGCTTTGTTTTCACTGCGACCGGTCATAAATGATGGGGGGTATGGAGGAAAGCTGATCTAGGTCGAGTTCAAGGTTTTACAGTACAACAGAAATGTTAATTACTCTGACCCAACCCCTCCTCCCGGACCGCTGTTTGGGAGACTGATGATGTTGACAATGCTGACCTACCCCTGTACACCGGCCCTACTGGGCCCTACAGCCTGAGACCCAGACAGAACCCCAGAGTGACCTCTGGATGGACTGACTGTACATGGACTCATCCATGTCATACTGACAGACTTGACTTGAGGTGAATGTATTGGCTCATGTTCATGTGAATTGATCGGTAATATTGGTTCTTTCACAGTGGTTTGAGATCTTGATCCAGCCTAATAGAGTGATAGTGTTGTGTTGTGCACAGTGCACACCTATATAAACATTGTTTTTCATTTAAACCTGTTCGGATATTGTTCAGTATTTCAAACTGTTGTCATGAAAAAAATGAGGGACTTCATGTCATGTTTGCCCTGGTACACTGAGTTGTTACTTTTTCTTTTATTTGAATGTTAAGGACCTTAAATTTGCTCAGTACTGACCTGTAATCCAGCTGCCTACATGGTTCACTGTATTTATTATCCTGTTTAGTACACGACAGTTTCACTGCTTTTCATGGATGAAAGTATATAGCCTAGAAGCGCACGGCTGGGGAATATGTGTACTGTTCCTTTAAGAACGTCAATGTCGTCATGACGTCGCTGAGTGGCGCCTCTACTGTGGTCAGTTGGGGAGACGAGGACGCGATGAGCGGACGCCGTTATCGAGCTCCGGTAATTTCTTTGTCTTTAACTCCGTTAACAGTGAGGACCGTGAGACCTCTTTGTCGAGTCTGATGTCGCGAACATGATGTTTTATTTAATTAAAGAGCAGCAGTCGTGTGAAGTCAGAGTTAACTGTTTTATGGACCTGCTCACACCAGAACTCACAAGCTAACTGTTAAAATGGATCCCGAACTTTTTCATTCTTGGACTTTTCATGACAAACAGAACAACTTTACCAACCGGAGGTTTTTTAACGGTTTATTCACCGTTTTAGAGCTAAAATGTGCTTTATTTTCTGAGGCGGCGACATCACAGACAGTTAGCTTTGGCGCCACAGCCAAACGGCGGGAAAGACTCCGCCTTTCATCTCTCCGTTTTTACCGTCTCCCGACCTCTCGGTACACCGGGTTACGGAGGTTCCTGCCGCCGTTTACTGCGGACATCCCGGCGGAGACGGCGACGTTTCCTGGTCGGCGGTTGTCGGACCAGGCCGCCGGGCCGCCCCCCTCCGGATCTCCGAGAGTCCCCCTTCTCCTCCTCGGTCCGCTGCCTGTCAGACTACAGCCGGTCACTTCATCTCCACGGACTCTTCGGTCAACGCGACGGTAAGAAACGGTAAAGAGAAACATTTTAAAGTGAAAATAAAGAGTAAAGACCGAGGATTGATGTGATTAACTGTGATTAACTCTATAACTGTGTGAAAACGACCATAGAGACTGTGAATGGAGGAGCTCCTTTGAGAAAAAAACACTCACGCTTTAGTTAAAACACACACCTGGTAGAGTTCTCATTTGTATTTGTAAGTACGGTGATATTTTGATGTTTTATGATATAAATATTTCTGTCCCTGTATTACCTCGTGGGTGTTTTCAACTATTTTTTCAGTTCAAAGAGTGTGATTTATGGAGCTTTTAAAAAATGGGGTTAATACCCATGAAACATTTTCAGTGCTGGTATTGATAACTGCGTCATACTACAGACATCTTGGTATCTGACTCCTTGAAACCATGGTAACTCATCCTGATTTAGCAGACTCTGACAACCTTCACACTGACTGTGACCGCGACTCCCCTTCCCAGACCGCTGTATGAAAGACTGATGATGTTTGAGACTGTGTTAAAGATGACTCACCATATTTGAAGCTGACTCACTGTGTTAAAGCTGACTCACTGTAATTAAAGCTGACTCACTGTGTTAATGCTGACTCACTGTAATTAAAGCTGACTCACTGTGTTAATGCTGACTCACTGTAATTAAAGCTGACTCACTGTATTTAAAACTGACTCACTGTAGTTAAAGCTGACTCACTGTAATTAAAGCTGACTCACTGTATTTGAAGCTGACTCACTGTAATTAAAGCTGACTCACTGTATTTAAAGCTGACTCACTGTGTTAATGCTGACTCATTGTGTTAAAGCTGACTCACTGTAATTAAAGCTGACTCACTGTATTTAAAGCTGACTCACTGTATTTAAAGCTGACTCATGTTTATTTTTGTACTTCATCAGATTTTCGGAGAACAGACTTTGGGAGTTCCTGAGGATCACAGAGTCACAGACCGTCACACAGGTGAGGTTAGGGTTAGGGTTAGGGTTAGGGTATAGGGGGTTTGGAGGAGACCCACCCCCTTGGTAACTTTTGAACGGAAGGTGGTAGAGCGCTGAAACTTGCACTTTGGGGGGGTGGAAGATTTTTCTGAGTCCAATGAGCCAACTCCCGAGTCTCTAGGACGTTCCTGAAAAAAGTTGATTTTTTCCCATAGGAATGCATTGGAGAAAAATCGTAGAATTTTACCGTGTCGACCGAATTTTTCACCTTCCAGAATTGTGTTAGGAGCACGTTTCAGGCCACGGGGAGTCCATAGAACCTAATTCTGGGTGAAGTTTCTGGGGGTTGAAACAAGGAGCTCTGCGGCAGGGTTAGGGATATAGGGGTATGTGCCACTTTTGACATGCCGGTTCATTGCCTTTCCCATTGATGAACCGAGCTGAGATTTGGTCTACCCCCCCATTTTCGGGTATGCTGAATCTAGAAATAGTAATGAACCAGCGATCGGACATTCCTATCAAAAGTTATGGCGAAGTGAAAATTTCCCATTGAAAATGAATGGGAGCGGAAAATGGCCAAAGTCAGTGTTTGCAAGTGTTCGACTTTGTCTGGAAATGTTGAAAATGGGTTGTGAGCACGTTTCAGGCCATTTCCTGTCGTTTGAGGGTTAGCCTCTCGGAGTGCTCCTGTGTTAGGGTTAGGATTGGGGAATGACTCCCGTCTCCCTCTAAGTTATGACCCTGCTTGGGTCTTCAAGGAGTGGGGCGTGCACGGGTCTTCGCCCCACCGGACACACCCCTCTGGTCCCATTAAGAACACTACTTGTGTTTAATAAATATTGTTTTTAAGTTGGCTTTAATGGGTTGAGTTATTGTTTTTAAATATCTTACATTTTTTTTAACTGTTTTTTACACACAAACACACAATACATGAACTACACATGAACTATGTACAAACAATGTGTGCATCATCGACAACGTTTCGACCTGACTTGGGTCTTCTTCAGGTCTGTGCACACATAAGAAAGGGCTGCTGGGCACCAATTCATAGGTGTTGACAGCAGCTAAAAAAAGAAGAAATGTCCCTGTTCCCTTCTCACCTTTTATACCTTTTAAAAAATAATTAACTGAATTTCTCGGATATTTTATGTTATTTTCTACTCTATTTAATTTGAAAATGTTAACCCTTTAACTGCTGATTCTTATTAATACAAAATAATATATTTATGTTTAACCTGAGGTTAGGCTTAAGGCAGCATTTCTCAAAGTGTGTGGCCCGCCCCCCCAGGGGGGCGCGGAGCCATCTTTAAGAAGCTAACAAGTGGAGGGGATGCAGGGGGTGCATTCTACAGCATAACACCTGTTAAGTATGCTGCTATCCCCACCTGTACAATGTCCTCCTGAAAGTGTACAAAGACGCTTTCTGCTGTGCTAATTCATGGTGGGAAGTAGCTCAGAAACCAGGGCGGAGATAACCACCAACGCCATGCTATGCCTCTCACATTTTTAAAAGTGGTTACCGTAACTTTAACCCTTAGATAGAAACCAGGGTCATTTCTCTAAAAAATTTAAATTCAAAATTAAAGATTGGAATCTTTTATAAACGTATTATTTGAAGATAATATCTCAAAGCTCGTAATTTGGAATCTTTCTTACAACTAACATTTGAAATGTGTGCCCCAAAATCTAAAATTGATCCAACCCCAACCCTACGTTTCAACCTAATCTAAACCCTAGGTCTGGCCTTTACCCTGTGTCTAACCCTAACTCTAGTTCTTACCCCAACAGTAGGTCTAACCCTAACCCTAACCCTAACCCTAACAAAATTTATGCCCTAATCCGAACCCTGGGTTTAACCCTAACCCTAGGTCTAACCCTGACAATAACATTATGTCTAACCCTAACTGTATGTTTAACCCTAGTCCTAGGTTATAACCCTAACTCTAATCCTAGCCCTAACTTTTATTTAGCCCTAGGTTTAACCCTAACCCTAGCCCTAACTCGAACCCTAGGTGTAACCCTAACCCAGCTCTAATATTAACCCTAACCCTAACCGAAGTGTTTGAAACTAATATCTAAGGTTGGTAAGGAAAATATGTTTAACCACTGACATTTAAAATTTCAGACCCAAAGTCTGAAGTTCTAAAACTATCTGACACTCACCCTAGGTCTTAAAAAACCCCTAGGTCTGGTCATTACACTAACCTTGGGTTTAATTATAATCCTAACCCAGTGTGTAACCAAAAGCCTAACCCTAGACCTAAACCAAAACCCAGCCCTAACCCTAACCCCAAACCCTAAACCCTAACCCCTAGCACTTACACTCATCCTAGACCTAAACCAAACCCTAATCCTAACCCTAACCCTAGCCCTAACGCTAACCCCTAACCCTAAACCCTAACCCCTAGCACTTACCCTAACCCTAGACCTAAACCAAACCCTAACCCTAACCCTAAACCCAACCCTAACCCCTAACCCTAGACCTAACCCTAACCCTAACCCTAGACCTAAACCTAACCCTAATCCTAACCCTAACCCTAAACCCAACCCTAACCTAACCCTAACCTAAACCTAACCCTAACCCCAACCCTAACCCCAACCTGGGAATCTAACCCTAACCCTAACCCTAACCCTAACCCTAACCCTAAATGTTAGTGGGTTCCCTAGCTCATTAACCTTCAACCCCTAACCCGAAGGGTTAGGGTTGAAGGTTAATGGGGCTTAGGGTTAGGGTTAGGGTTAGGGGGTTAGGGTTAGGGTTAGGGTTAGGGTTAGGGTTAGGGTTAGGGTTTAGGGTTAGGGTTAGGGTTAGGGTTAGGGTTAGGGTTAGGGTTAGGGTTAGGGTTAGGGTTAGGGGTTAGGGTTAGGGTTAGGGCCAGGGTAGGGTTAGGGTTAGGGTTAGGGTTAGGGTTAGGGCCAGGGCCAGGGTTAGGGCCAGGGTTAGGGCCAGGGTTAGGGCCAGGCCAGGCCAGGGCCAGGGGCCAGGGCCAGGGCCAGGGGCCAGGGCCAGGGCCAGGGCCAGGGCCAGGGGCCAGGGCCAGGGGCCAGGCCAGGGGCCAGGGGCCAGGCCAGGGGGCCAGGGGCCAGGCCAGGGCCAGGGCCAGGCCAGGGGCCAGGGCCAGGCCAGGCCAGGGGCCAGGCCAGGGTTAGGCCAGGGCCAGGGCCAGGGCCAGGCCAGGCCAGGGGCCAGGGCCAGGGCCAGGGCCAGGCCAGGGGCCAGGCCAGGGCCAGGCCAGGCCAGGGGCCAGGCCAGGCCAGGCCAGGCCAGGCCAGGGCCAGGGCCAGGCCAGGCCAGGCCAGGCCAGGCCAGGCCAGGCCAGGCCAGGCCAGGCCAGGCCAGGCCAGGCCAGGCCAGGCCAGGCCAGGCCAGGCCAGGCCAGGGCCAGGCCAGGGCCAGGGCCAGGCCAGGCCAGGCCAGGCCAGGCCAGGCCAGGCCAGGCCAGGCCAGGCCAGGCCAGGCCAGGCCAGGCCAGGCCAGGCCAGGCCAGGCCAGGCCAGGCCAGGCCAGGCCAGGCCAGGCCAGGCCAGGCCAGGCCAGGCCAGGCCAGGCCAGGCCAGGGGCCAGGCCAGGGCCAGGCCAGGCCAGGCCAGGCCAGGCCAGGCCAGGCCAGGCCAGGCCAGGCCAGGCCAGGCCAGGCCAGGCCAGGCCAGGCCAGGCCAGGCCAGGCCAGGCCAGGCCAGGCCAGGCCAGGCCAGGCCAGGCCAGGCCAGGCCAGGCCAGGCCAGGCCAGGCCAGGCCAGGCCAGGCCAGGCCAGGGCCAGGCCAGGCCAGGCCAGGCCAGGCCAGGCCAGGCCAGGCCAGGCCAGGCCAGGCCAGGCCAGGCCAGGCCAGGCCAGGGCCAGGCCAGGCCAGGCCAGGCCAGGCCAGGCCAGGCCAGGCCAGGCCAGGCCAGGCCAGGCCAGGCCAGGCCAGGCCAGGCCAGGCCAGGCCAGGCCAGGCCAGGCCAGGCCAGGCCAGGCCAGGCCAGGCCAGGCCAGGCCAGGCCAGGCCAGGCCAGGCCAGGCCAGGCCAGGCCAGGCCAGGCCAGGCCAGGCCAGGCCAGGCCAGGCCAGGCCAGGCCAGGCCAGGCCAGGCCAGGCCAGGCCAGGCCAGGCCAGGCCAGGCCAGGCCAGGCCAGGCCAGGCCAGGCCAGGCCAGGCCAGGCCAGGCCAGGCCAGGCCAGGCCAGGCCAGGCCAGGCCAGGCCAGGCCAGGCCAGGCCAGGCCAGGCCAGGCCAGGCCAGGCCAGGCCAGGCCAGGCCAGGCCAGGCCAGGCCAGGCCAGGCCAGGCCAGGCCAGGCCAGGCCAGGCCAGGCCAGGCCAGGCCAGGCCAGGCCAGGCCAGGCCAGGCCAGGCCAGGCCAGGCCAGGCCAGGCCAGGCCAGGCCAGGCCAGGCCAGGCCAGGCCAGGCCAGGCCAGGCCAGGCCAGGCCAGGCCAGGGCCAGGCCAGGCCAGGCCAGGCCAGGCCAGGCCAGGCCAGGCCAGGCCAGGCCAGGCCAGGCCAGGCCAGGCCAGGCCAGGCCAGGCCAGGCCAGGCCAGGCCAGGCCAGGCCAGGCCAGGCCAGGCCAGGCCAGGCCAGGCCAGGCCAGGCCAGGCCAGGCCAGGCCAGGCCAGGGCCAGGCCAGGCCAGGCCAGGCCAGGCCAGGCCAGGCCAGGCCAGGCCAGGCCAGGCCAGGCCAGGCCAGGCCAGGCCAGGCCAGGCCAGGCCAGGCCAGGCCAGGCCAGGCCAGGCCAGGCCAGGCCAGGCCAGGCCAGGCCAGGCCAGGCCAGGCCAGGCCAGGCCAGGCCAGGCCAGGCCAGGCCAGGCCAGGCCAGGCCAGGCCAGGCCAGGCCAGGCCAGGCCAGGCCAGGCCAGGCCAGGCCAGGCCAGGCCAGGCCAGGCCAGGCCAGGCCAGGCCAGGCCAGGCCAGGCCAGGCCAGGCCAGGCCAGGCCAGGCCAGGCCAGGCCAGGCCAGGCCAGGCCAGGCCAGGCCAGGCCAGGCCAGGCCAGGCCAGGCCAGGCCAGGCCAGGCCAGGCCAGGCCAGGCCAGGCCAGGCCAGGCCAGGCCAGGCCAGGCCAGGCCAGGCCAGGCCAGGCCAGGCCAGGCCAGGCCAGGCCAGGCCAGGCCAGGCCAGGCCAGGCCAGGCCAGGCCAGGCCAGGCCAGGCCAGGCCAGGCCAGGCCAGGCCAGGCCAGGCCAGGCCAGGCCAGGCCAGGCCAGGCCAGGCCAGGCCAGGCCAGGCCAGGCCAGGCCAGGCCAGGCCAGGCCAGGCCAGGCCAGGCCAGGCCAGGCCAGGCCAGGCCAGGCCAGGCCAGGCCAGGCCAGGCCAGGCCAGGCCAGGCCAGGCCAGGCCAGGCCAGGCCAGGCCAGGCCAGGCCAGGCCAGGCCAGGCCAGGCCAGGCCAGGCCAGGCCAGGCCAGGCCAGGCCAGGCCAGGCCAGGGCCAGGCCAGGCCAGGCCAGGCCAGGCCAGGCCAGGCCAGGCCAGGCCAGGCCAGGCCAGGCCAGGCCAGGCCAGGCCAGGCCAGGCCAGGCCAGGCCAGGCCAGGCCAGGCCAGGCCAGGCCAGGCCAGGCCAGGCCAGGCCAGGCCAGGCCAGGCCAGGCCAGGCCAGGCCAGGCCAGGCCAGGCCAGGCCAGGCCAGGCCAGGCCAGGCCAGGCCAGGCCAGGCCAGGCCAGGCCAGGCCAGGCCAGGCCAGGCCAGGCCAGGCCAGGCCAGGCCAGGCCAGGCCAGGCCAGGCCAGGCCAGGCCAGGCCAGGCCAGGGCCAGGCCAGGCCAGGCCAGGCCAGGCCAGGCCAGGCCAGGCCAGGCCAGGCCAGGCCAGGCCAGGCCAGGCCAGGCCAGGCCAGGCCAGGCCAGGCCAGGCCAGGCCAGGCCAGGCCAGGCCAGGCCAGGCCAGGCCAGGCCAGGCCAGGCCAGGCCAGGCCAGGCCAGGCCAGGCCAGGCCAGGCCAGGCCAGGCCAGGCCAGGCCAGGCCAGGCCAGGCCAGGCCAGGCCAGGCCAGGCCAGGCCAGGCCAGGCCAGGCCAGGCCAGGCCAGGCCAGGCCAGGCCAGGCCAGGCCAGGCCAGGGCCAGGCCAGGCCAGGCCAGGCCAGGCCAGGCCAGGCCAGGCCAGGCCAGGCCAGGGCCAGGCCAGGCCAGGCCAGGCCAGGCCAGGCCAGGCCAGGCCAGGCCAGGCCAGGCCAGGCCAGGCCAGGCCAGGCCAGGCCAGGCCAGGCCAGGGCCAGGCCAGGCCAGGCCAGGCCAGGCCAGGCCAGGCCAGGCCAGGCCAGGCCAGGCCAGGCCAGGCCAGGCCAGGCCAGGCCAGGCCAGGCCAGGCCAGGCCAGGCCAGGCCAGGCCAGGCCAGGCCAGGCCAGGCCAGGCCAGGCCAGGCCAGGCCAGGCCAGGCCAGGCCAGGCCAGGCCAGGCCAGGCCAGGCCAGGCCAGGCCAGGCCAGGCCAGGCCAGGCCAGGCCAGGCCAGGCCAGGCCAGGCCAGGCCAGGCCAGGCCAGGCCAGGCCAGGCCAGGCCAGGCCAGGCCAGGCCAGGCCAGGCCAGGCCAGGCCAGGCCAGGCCAGGCCAGGCCAGGCCAGGCCAGGCCAGGCCAGGCCAGGCCAGGCCAGGCCAGGCCAGGCCAGGCCAGGCCAGGCCAGGCCAGGCCAGGCCAGGCCAGGCCAGGCCAGGCCAGGCCAGGCCAGGCCAGGCCAGGCCAGGCCAGGCCAGGCCAGGCCAGGCCAGGCCAGGCCAGGCCAGGCCAGGCCAGGCCAGGCCAGGCCAGGCCAGGCCAGGCCAGGCCAGGCCAGGCCAGGGCCAGGCCAGGCCAGGCCAGGCCAGGCCAGGCCAGGCCAGGCCAGGCCAGGCCAGGCCAGGCCAGGCCAGGCCAGGCCAGGCCAGGCCAGGCCAGGCCAGGCCAGGCCAGGCCAGGCCAGGCCAGGCCAGGCCAGGCCAGGCCAGGCCAGGCCAGGCCAGGCCAGGCCAGGCCAGGCCAGGCCAGGCCAGGCCAGGCCAGGCCAGGCCAGGCCAGGCCAGGCCAGGCCAGGCCAGGCCAGGCCAGGCCAGGCCAGGCCAGGCCAGGCCAGGCCAGGCCAGGCCAGGCCAGGCCAGGCCAGGCCAGGCCAGGCCAGGCCAGGCCAGGCCAGGCCAGGCCAGGCCAGGCCAGGCCAGGCCAGGCCAGGCCAGGCCAGGCCAGGCCAGGCCAGGCCAGGCCAGGCCAGGCCAGGCCAGGCCAGGCCAGGCCAGGCCAGGCCAGGCCAGGCCAGGCCAGGCCAGGCCAGGCCAGGCCAGGCCAGGCCAGGCCAGGCCAGGCCAGGCCAGGCCAGGCCAGGCCAGGCCAGGCCAGGCCAGGGCCAGGCCAGGCCAGGCCAGGCCAGGCCAGGCCAGGCCAGGCCAGGCCAGGCCAGGCCAGGCCAGGCCAGGCCAGGCCAGGCCAGGCCAGGCCAGGCCAGGCCAGGCCAGGCCAGGCCAGGCCAGGCCAGGCCAGGCCAGGCCAGGCCAGGCCAGGCCAGGCCAGGCCAGGCCAGGCCAGGCCAGGCCAGGCCAGGCCAGGCCAGGCCAGGCCAGGCCAGGCCAGGCCAGGCCAGGCCAGGCCAGGCCAGGCCAGGCCAGGCCAGGCCAGGCCAGGCCAGGCCAGGCCAGGCCAGGCCAGGCCAGGCCAGGCCAGGCCAGGCCAGGCCAGGCCAGGCCAGGCCAGGCCAGGCCAGGCCAGGCCAGG